AAACCGGGTACGCACTACGGGTGTAGGGGTGGCTACCCCCCTCCGCACACCCGTTTGACTCCTCGGTCCGGGGTTTTCCATCCGGAGTTAGTACTTCCGAAGTGGCTGTCTATTTGAAATGATTGCAGGCAGTTTCAATGGCAGGCTGCAATTACATTTCTATTGCTCGCTTGTGCATTTTGTGCTATCGGTGCCTGGTGTATATTTCTCATCTATCTCCATTGTGTTGCTCGTATCTTGTCGTAAATATTATCGATGTTCGAATGTCTCGTCATACTTTAAATAACCTACATCGTGCAACTAGTAGACGGACCATTTATCGCCAGTTGCAGAGTTATTTGCCAACCGAGTGTCCAGAAGTGCGAACTGAGGTGCCAATGCAGGAATCAGACAACGAATACCAACAATTCCATGGTTAGTAAGATAAATGATCGTATTGGCTTTTAGGTCCGCAACCCACATTCGAACTAAGTGGTGTCAATATCTGTGACATCGTTGCCCCTGCAAACCCAACTGATGTTGTATACACACCATCAGTTGAAGCGTACGTAGGAAAAACGAAAGACTCTATTGTTACCTCGTTATTCCAATGAGCACACTTCAAGGATATGGTTCGCCTACTCTTTCGCAAACTGCACTTGGACAGATGGTGCTTGGCCTCCAAGAATAATAACAAGCTGCGCATGGCGTTTAAAACTTGCTCACACAATGAACTCTTGGATAGTCAACGTAATTTTGGTTTGTAACACATCAACTCATGTTTGCTCAAGATGCGCACACTTCATAATCGTTTGACTTTTCTAGGTTTTGCTGCTCCTCACCGACTTTCAACGGGAGAAGCGCAATAACATTATTTTCTTCTCAAAACTCATTCTCTTTCTCCATATGAAGATGTAGCGGTTTTTAAACTAATAGTTTCGCAAAGGCAGTTTTCCCTTCTTGCCTCTTGCTTTTCTCTACGTTTCCTGATAGATTCATTCAAGCTGGACGTGATCATCAAGCCACGGACCAGAAGCACCTTCATTTCGACCATCGATCAGGTATGTTGATTATAAAAGCTAGGCTACCGTTAATCTTTTGCTTTTAATATAAGGACCTTTTTTCTCTACCGGGCAAAATCAAGTATACCGTCAAGATTTAGCACGTACTGCCATTATTTGGCGATAGTGTAGTGACAGTGTCAACCCTTTCCGCACATGTACCTTTTCTATCTTTCGGAATTTGTTGTTTTACCGGACTAAGATTACCTCGCTGGTCACGGTAGGTTGGCTTTCACTTTCTGCACGCTTACTTGCCTATATGCTTCTCTCTCTCTGTTCTCCAGCACATTCCAATACAACCGTCATTGAGGTTTCGTTATCCCAGTCGTTCTGTTTTGGTTCGTTGCTAAGCGTACGAATTCGTGGACATCATTAGCGATCTCCTAGAGGAAGTTTCTTCTAGATATAGCAACATGGACACTTCCAGAATCAAGTTTTGTTTTGATCATTATCGTGTTTGTAATGAGCTCGAGAAGACCGCACCGGCAAAATTCCCCCACAGTGAGCTCTGTATCGCACGCTTTCCTTGCATCGTTCAGATCTACTTTCAGGTTTCCGCTGCCGTTGCTTAAATAACAGCCTAGGCCTAGCCGAACTTACTTCCAACATTTCGGAAGTTTCAGAATATAACGTTTTCACACTCCCAATCCTTAGTTCTATTTCCTTTTGGGACGGATATCCAGAACGAACGTGAGCAAACATTAGGGACAGATTCTGACGAACATCAACAACCGCCGAGTCACTAAAAGGGCCTCTTTTCTGTTACTTCCAACTGTCACCAGTTTTTATTTGATCTTGCGTCCAAAAGCCTCAGTATGATCGGGGTGGATGTCTTGGATTGCGGCTGGTCACCTTTCCCTTGCACCTCGCGAAATGCTCCCATACGACCTAGCATCTCAGATAGCCTCTGCTGAGGAAGCCCTATTCACTGCCTTCTCGTGACGGAGGTGTTTTCCCATCAAAGTAAGAGGACGAATAGCCTACATCCAGGGCTATAACTGGGTTGGTGGACCACGGGCAGCTCACCTAGGTAAGTTGGCCAAAATCCCTGATTCTAAAAAAACCACGAGGCGCATGAACCACACACAACTTCCTGGTTGTGGCATTGGGCACCGGCTCGATTGGGTACCTTGACACTTGACGTTTTGATACCCAATCATTTCACAACCGTCAATACTCGCGCTGCTATTGTGGCCATTCATTTCACGTCCCCCTTCCTGTTCTTGTTCTAGACCACCTGATACATTTTAGTTCCAGTTCTGGTCATCTATGTGATCCAATCTCAGATATGATTGAACACACACTATTCCACATCAGGCTTCAGGTCAAAGTTTTATTATGGGAAATACTTACAAGCGGTTGTTTTCTAGTCTCAAAGGCTTTTAGCACAGATGAATCGAATCATGGTTCATAGAAAGTTGAGGAATATTGCAATTTATCCTTGCTTCGTGCACTGCTATGGATGTTGGAATTTAAGACTTTTCAAAGCTTCATCCAGATTGTGTTTGAAGGAGTCGATTGTGGGCGCAGAAACAACGCGTGGCGGTAGAGCACTCCAAGTAGTGCACACTCTGAGGGCGAAGGAATGACGCCGACACTTTTGGCGCACTAATTTGAATGAGTGTTGGGCGACAAGTGAACGACATGGGTGATCTGTGTTCTGCATTATTTCACACACCAAGATCAAGTTCCCTCGAATGTGGCGATACTGTGTGGAGAACAGCTGCAGTGATTCCAGTCTTTCCGCGTAACTCTTGGAATGCAGCCCCTTGATCATTTTGGTGGTCAATCTTTCTGGACGTTCCAGAATATTCCGATCGCGTTGCAGCCACGTTTGAACTGCACACTCTGTGGGGTCAAATATAGCTGATAACAACCGTGGAGACAGCGTAATTTCAAATTTGCCAAATACTCGCTTTAGCAAACCAACATGTCTTACAGCGGTGGACGATGCCCGCGAGCAGTTTAAAGAACAACTTATGTCGTCAAATTGTTTCGAAACGTTTCACTACTTGCTCGTGAATTGTCGTTGAATCCGTATCACTTAGTCCTGTTCCCTTGTACATCTCACATTCAATGGTAAATAAGTATCCACTTTACCAGGTTTGGTTACTAACCCTTCTGGCAAGGACTGCATGACACAATTCATCATCAGTGCCCAGTTTGACACTTTGTCTTTGTCTGCAAAAAAGCCTGTCAGTTCCTACAGAACCGATCACTTGATCGATTCAGGCAAAATTCGGAGGAAATGAGCGAGACTAGTAGTCAGGAAAGTCCCGCGTAAAACAAATCCCACGTAGTGCTTAGTATGAACCTATCTATCGGACATTCTTGTCGTTTTAACGTCAAATGTTCGGGACCATATCACACTGGTGATAGTAATATGCAAAAGGACAAGATGGGGGGGGGCGGTATGCGAATATATTAAAACAGGAATCGAAAATTATAAGTCGCATCGGTCGTTTTGATCATTACTACTCGACAAAAGCTAGCACAGATAGTTTAATTGCACCACCCCCGCCCCCTTCCCTCCTGACTTTACAGCCACGAAAACGGAAGATGGTCAAGATGCGGATTATAATTGCATAGTAAGAAAAACAAGCGATATTCCATGGCTGCACGAGACAGAATATGGTTAGAATACCGAGAATTGAAGCAAAAGAGAGAGAAAATAGACGAGGTGGTCAAGGCGAGCACGGGCAAATGAACCGGTGGATCCAGAACAGAGCAAAAAGAAGTAGGGGCTGAAGTAGTTCGTGATGACCATCTAGGTGGGATAGCTCAGTGTTGCTTAATAAAAGCACAACAATGACAACACACGCGCACGCGCGCGCGTGTTTAAATAGCAGCGAGATGACCAAACAATTGGCCAACGAGGGCTCAAAGATTTGACAAACGCATCGTTGACGTCACCATGCATTTGTGAATGTTTACCTTCGCGTTGTCGATTTAGTCTATTTAGCTGGGCTTTGTTGCTTGGGTGAAGATTTCGGGGAAGCCTTTGCCGTCGGTCCCGGACTTTTCGGACTGCCTGGAGTCACTTGTTTTGCTGGGCTAGCTCGAGGGGTCGATAATTTCTTTTCCGGAGAGGCTTTAGCTTGACTGGTCGAAGAATCGGGTTCCGAAGCTACGGACGGAGCGGCCGCCGTAGCAGGGTCGGGTTCCGGTGTGGTCTGTTTGATTTGTTTACTTGCTTCCAACTGTTCCCGTGAGCTACGAGCCAATCGCTCCAATTCCGTTTGCAGATCTTTCGGGGACATGGACAATTTGTCTGTGATACGGCAGAAAACAACAAGAACAACAGAATGACCAATTGTGAGCTGATGATTCTTTGTTCTCACAAACGCTATTACGTCAGATAAAGAGAGGAGGATTACTGGTTGAATGTTTAAGTGAAACGCAATCAATCGTCACTGTGAACAAACAGCTTCATCCAACCTCCATGGGCGATGGTGACCCGGTGGTAACGTCACCAAATCATCACCCCGGAGGACGAGTGTTCGAATCCCACCACCACAGCTCGTCTTTCCACGTTTGTGTGTTGTATGGCAGCCTTTTGATTGGCCACTTCCCCCTTCCTAAAAATGGCATCACTGTATATTCAATAAAAAGGAAGTAAAAACGAAAAGAATAAAAAAGAAATAGAATATATTTCTGTCACAAATACAACACATTGCAAACTGGATTTCATCTCGGATGACTCAGTCGAGCAGTCTCAGTGATGGGGCGGGGGTGATTACACGCGCGACTCCGTCAAATTCGATCACATGACACTTGTTGACAATAGAACATCAGATTGATCAGAGCATGGTATTAGGAAATGTTCTGAGCAAGCTGAAGCTGTTAAGATACGCTAAACCGAGTGCAATGCGTAGTTTTTAAGCATATCATGTGCGTGTGTTCTGGTAATCTTAAATCCCTCGATTATCGATAATTTCTTCGTACCTGTGAGTTTTCTTTGGGTAATTGTGAGCTTCCACATTGTGCGATCAAGATGCTGTACTAGGTGCTCTGTTCAAATCGATATCGGGGAGACGGCTGCTTCAACCGGAATATAAACAGACAGATATGGATGTGATGATCAATAGGACAACTTGTATGGGTTGTGAAATAAGGGAAGAGGTAGATAAAGTATGAACATATTTACGCATCACACACCCGCTTCGGGAATATGTATGCGAACAATGCAACAACCTCGAAGAACGAAAAAGGCGAATTCAGGTAGGAACGTGGGAAGAATGATGATAAACGATGCTTGCGTTGCACGGGAGTTCAACAAACAAGCCATAATGCATTCCTACTGTGGATTTATGTCCTGAGTTGTATTACTCAGTGTCTTTAGACAACAACAATCCTCATCCTCCGGGTCCCGATCAACGAGGATGAAAGCGCCAGCAGAGGCTAACTTCTTCACGCCCTTATGGTAAGTCTTTATCTGGTCGCTGCGAAGAGGATGTGGAAGGACAGACGGCGTACAAATCGGTGACAGCATAGACCAATCACCGCGATCTGAGGGCGACTACCAGCACCGACCTAATGTTCACACCACATAACAGGAACGATCTAAAGAGATCGATGAACGAACAGGAAAAGATCAGGTTTTACAGCCCTGGGGTTCAACACGACAAATCACAGGGATATATAACCTTCCTTCTAGGGAAAGTCGGATGTCATAGCAGTTGTTATCAGTTTACGAAAGCAACTCTAACTCTCATTATTCGCGATGTGATCTGCCCCCAAATTTAGCTCTGAAAAAGGTCAATCGGTGGCTAGAGCACTGGACTGCCACCAACTGATAAGGACAAGAGGTGAATGCAATATGTGAAGAACATTTCGGAAATGACCACGAGAGTACTGAAACCACACAACATTCAAGTCGCCCAAAAAACAACGACAACCCTGAGGAGAATCTTGTCGAAAACCAAGAAGCAACAGGAAGACAAAAATCGAACAAATGTGATCTACCGCATCAATTGCAAGGACTGTAGCAAGCACTACATCGGTTAAACGGGGAGAAAACTAGCAACTCGCGTGCACGAACACAAACTGACCGTCAGAAGACACGATGCACTCTCAATCATCTCAATCCACGAGGACC